GGGGCGGGGCCAGGGCCCGTGGAGGGTCCTCTTTTTTTATTTAATAGATATGGTAACCCTAGCTTAGTTGTCTAAGCCATGGATGTGCAACGCTCAGACTCCCTGGAACCACAGCGTCAAAGCCCAACAGGGTTGACTCTGCAGTGTGGAGCCCTGCTGGTTTGAACTAAATGGTGGAGTCTCTGTAACTTGAAGTCTTTCAATCAAGATTTGAGGACTTCAGTGGCTTAGCCAGAGGTTACGGGGCCTATTAGAGGTGTGGGTGGGTGAGGTTCTGTGCCCTGTGATGTGCAGGAGGTCAGACTAGATCAGGGGTTCTCAGACTTCATTGCGCCACGACCCCCTTCCGACAACAAAAATTACTACATGACCCCAAGAGGGGGGACCGAACCCTGAGCTCGCCCAAGCCCCGCTGCCCTGGGGCGGGGGGGAAGGGGCAAAGCTGAACCCCAAGGGCTTTAGCCCCTGGGGGTGAGGGGAAGGTTGTAACCTGAGCCCTGCCACCTGGAGCTGAAGCCCTTGGGCTTCGACCCCGGGCAGTGGGGCTCAGTCTTCACTTCGGCCCTGGTCCCCAGCAAATCTAACACCATTAAAATGGGGTTGTGACCCACTTTGGGGTCCCAACCCACAGTTTGAAAATTGCAGGACTAGATGATCACAATGGTCCCATCTGGCCCTAAAGTCTGTGGGTCTGTCTATGCTGCAACGTAAGCCAAGGGCTAGTAGAACTCGAGTTAGCAGACTCTGGGTTTGTTAACCCAGGGCTCGTGCGTCTATACTGCGTTATGTGGTGCAGTGTGGGAAAACTTGACTGTCCAGAGGACAAAGAAAGTCAGCTCATGGGTTTGTGGGATACTTTTGACAGGCTCCCAGAGCACAAATCCAACGGGGCTGTGTCTACACAGCAGAGCAATAGGGCTTGAACCCTGGGTCCTGACTTGACTCTGGCTCAAATCCTCCACTCCTGTGAGGTCCTGGGACCTTGGGTCTGATCCCTGGGTTAGCATGATTTACATGTGGACGGGGGTTAGGCTTGAGCCTGAATTCGAACCCTGGGCTTACATTGCAGTGTAGACATACCGTCTGAGCCTTTTCCCTTCATTCTGCAAGGTAGATAAATGGGAGCTCCCTGTAGTTTGTGACTGTAGGGAACTTCCAGAGAAGACCTGACATTCTGAATTTGCTTTGCTTGCATATTGAGGACCCGTTGGGCCAATCTGCAAGAGCGTTGGCTGGATTTGGCTCTAAGGTCTTTGCCCAAAGCTCTCGTTTCCCCCCGCAATTCCTCTACACGTTGTTTTGCACCGTTTAGCTGCCTCAGAGGTGGTTGTCTGAATATGAGCTATAAAGTGCTTTGGGCTCTAAGAAGTTATAGAAAGGGTTAAAAAAGGCTCAGTGGCAACACTGACACCCCCATCAACCCCCCACCCCAAATTAAAAACAACACCTGAAACAGAAACAAATCAACCAGCCCCACTCCCCCCAAAAAATATTCCAAGCAGCATTTGTACAATGAAAAGGACTGCTAGAGACTCCAGGAAGTCCACAGTGGGCTTGACTATTGCTAGGGAATTTACATGGAAGGTGCTCAGGTACTAGTGGTGGGTGGCCGAGCCATGGAGGAGAATGGGGATATGGGGCAAATAAGCTAAATCTCCTTTGAGGCACTGTGGCAGCATACCAAATGGAACTATTTTGATTTTTGGCCAAAGTACTTGGTGTTTTTGATGAAAAAG